AGGTCTGGTGAACTGCTTCCATAAAGCTTACAGCCAAGAAAACTCTTTGGAGCAGTCCTACTCTGTAACACATGGGGTTGCTATGAGTGGAGAGGCCAACTCAGCAGCTAACAACCACAGCCACTTCCTAGTTTTGTTTTCTAAGAACCAAAGACTAGTGCCACCTTGATTCTTACACAGTCAGTCATGGAATGAGATACAATTTTAACTTCTTCCCTTCATTTCCTGCCCCTTCTATTATCACAGCCTTGTTGAAGGTGTTCCTTGTGATTCTACCAGTAATGATTCCAGAGAAAGCAACAGGGGTTAACAGTATTACAAACACAGCAATGCAACCAACTTACTGTCGTTGTTGTGTGCCGTTGAGTTGGTCCTGACTCATAGAGATCCTGTACAGGGTTTCCAAGGCTTTAAATTTTTACAGGAGCACAAAGCTTCATCTTTCTCCTTTAGAACTACTGATGGGCTCGAACAGCCAACCTTGTGGTTTGCAGTCCAGTGCTTATCATATGGAGACACTGCCCTACTAATCTGTAGTAACAGCTTTCCATGTATCAACAGAGCTTGGTTTTCTGGCCTATCACTAACAATTCTCTGGCAGTCAGATCTACTCCATTATCTCTTTTGATTCCTGAGCAAAAATGCTCCTGAGTTACTTGTACCTCCTAGGTCCTCACCCCTATAGTAAATGGTTTGGATCCTATCAAGTGTACTAAGCGTGAGACACTGAAATCAAATAAGACACAGGCCCTGCTCTCCAGAGAGATCAATCTGGTGCAGGCTACTACCAAGTAAACAGGAAATGACGACACACTGTACTGAGTGTTAAGACACAGGAAGTGCAAAGTGCCATGGGACATGATGAAGGGGCACGTAGCTAGGCTTGAGAGGTCAAGGAGCGTTTTCTTGAGAGGAAATGATTTTTGAGCTGACATTAAAAAAATGACAGATAAGAGGTAGCCATTTGAAAGGGCAAGGCATGGGATCAGGACAGATGCAGAATGCTCCTACCATTCTATTTCAAGAGCGTTTAAAGAGTGAGCTTGCGGAACTGAAAAGAAGTACAGGTGTGGGCTGGAGGGGAGGATGTAAGCGGGAGCAGAGAACTGAGGCTAGAGGTTGACAATAGTAAGATCAGAAAGGACTTTTCATGTTAATGGTTTTGCACTTTATCCCAGAGTCACCAGGGAATCATCGAAGGATTTTAAGTAAAGGAGAAACAATAGGTACTGAGAGTGGGCAAGTTAAACCACAAAGCCTCAAATGTCACATCAGGGAGAAAAAGTCTCCAAACTAACCCACATTGCCCTCTGGCTTCATCTGGTGGTTGTGATCGTGTGCCACTGCATCGGGTCCAACTCACAGTGAGGCCGTAAATCTTTATGGGAGCAGAAAGCCTCATCATTCTCCCGTGGAGTGGTTAGTGGACCTGAGCTACTGACTTTGTGGTTAGCAGCCCAATGTGTAATCTGCTACATTACTACAGTGCTTTTCAAATTTTCGAGGAGTACCTGGCCATCTGCTCCAGTTAAGTTAACAGTCTAGGAGAACTGTGTTCCACAGGATCTCTATGAGATGGAATGCACTCCACGGCACACAGCTACCGCTCTGCCACGGACAAGGAAAATTAATGCTAACCCCTGGGGCAATGCCAGTGGTTTTAGCTCAAGAATTCAGGTGACTTTGGTATTCTATTCAAGGATATAGCCATGTGTGGTTTTTTGTTGGTAAGGGGCCATTGACTCAGTTCAAACTCATAGCTGGGGAGTTTACACTGCTGATCTTGTGGTTAGCAGTCCAGTACTTATCCTCCAGCTCTACCCAAGGGCTCCATGTGTTTTTTTTTTAATAAAGAAAAACTATTTTACGTCAAGTCAACAGACAAAATGGTCACTTCCGGCTGAAAAGCCATGTCTATTCATGGAACAAAGCACCATGAGGCCATTTTCTCAGAGACACTTTCCACATATGATAGCAAGGCCATGTGGAGGACAAACTGCCCACACTAGATCACTTCCTTCCCCTCTGGTATCACACTGACTAAATATCATCATTACTCAAACTCCCCATGCTGTGCAGACTCTCAACTGCACCCCTTTTCATCAAAACCTGCTCCCTGTCACCACCCCAGCCGCCACCACAGCTGCCCATCGACTCTGTCGATATCTAACAGCCTTATCATACATTGTCTTGTTTTATTATACGTAACCATGTCTGATAAGGAACTCTGGTAGCATAGTGGTCATGAGTCGGGCTGCTAACCTCCAGGTCAGCAGTTCGAAACTACCAGCCATTCCAGGGGACAAAGAGGAGGCTTTCTGCTCCCGTAAAGATTTATAGCCTCGGAAACCCTGTATAGGGTCATCGTGAGTTGGAACCAACTCCACAGCACAAAACTACCAACTTTATCTGGGCCTGTCTCTCCCTCTGCACTAATCAGTTTGGGGAGAAAAAAGATATGTTTTTTTTTGCCTTTGTTGCCTTTCAGGGAGTGCTTTATCCACAACATGTGAGGCAAGTTTCAAAAAAATTCATGAAAAAATTCCATTATCTTTCAATTCTATTTTTCAACTAAGAACAAAGATGTCAGCTTGAGAACTAAGGTGCATCTGACGCAAGTCATGGTATTTTCAATAACTTCATATGCAAGCGAAATCTGGTCAGCGAATAAGGGAGACCGTAGAGAAGAATTGATGCCTTTGAGTTATGGTGTTGGAGGAGAATATTGAAAAGTGCCATGGGCTGCCAAAAGAACCAACAGATCTGTGTTGAAAGAAGTGCAGCCAGAGTGCTCCTTGGAGGCCAGGATGGCCAAACTTCATCTCTCATACTTCGGACATATTGTCAGGAGGGAGCAGTTGCTAGAGAAGGTTATCATGTTTGGTTAGGTGGAGGGTCAGAGAAAAAGAGGAAGACCCCTAGCGAGATGGATTGGCAAAGTGGGCTCAAGCGTGGCAGCCATGGTGAGGTTGGCCCAGGATCGGGCAGTGTTTTCGTTCTGCTGTGCATAAGTTTGCTATGAGTCAATACCGACTCGATGGCACCTAACAACAACATTTTTCCCCTCAGATACACCAACCACTCCTTGGAAACTCTATACAGGGTCACTATGGGTTGGGACTAACTAGACAGCACTTAACAACAACATACATGAAATAAAGGTTTACTGAATTAAATTGATTAGCTTGGTCCTTTCTTCTGTGTTCTGTTGTGAATAGTTCTAGATGTTAAGGTAAAGGAAGTGTTCAAAGGCTAATTTCGAAAACAAATTTTATAGACATAGGTACACATAAAAAAATACAAGCTATTTGGGTAGGAGCTAAGGTATATTCTTGACTCTGAGAATGATATCATTTCCTTTTTAAAAGCAGATACCAACCACCACAGCTTCTGCTAGCCTGAGACCAGAAAAGCCAGATGGTGCTCGGTTACGACTGACTGCTCTGACCAGGACAGCAGAAGGTCCGGGTTAGAATGGGAGAAAACTGTAGAACAAAACTCAAATTCATACAAACACCAGACTTACTGGTCTGACAGAGTGGATGAACCCTTGAGACTTTGGCCCTAGGGCACTCTTCTAACGTGGAACTGGAGTCACTCCCTGAGGTTCACTACCTTCAGTTAAGTATCAGACAGCCCTATAAAATGAGCACTACCACCTGTGAGAACTGTGCTCCTTCAAACTCTGAACTATGCAAAGACTAAAGGGCAGTACTGGCCCAAAAGCAAACAAGGGAAAGCAGGGAGGGACAGGCAAAGCAGACAAACATACAGAGGAATCCAGAGTGCAAAGAGGGAGAGTGCTGACACATTGGGGAGACTGAAACTAATGTCAGGGAACAATTTGTGTATACATTATTCGATGGGAAACTAATTTGCTTTGGAAGTAAGCGTACACAATAAAATATTCAAACCCCCCCACTCCCCAACCAAGAAGTACACATCAATCACTCAGACACTACAAAACGGTACAGTCACTCTAGAAAACAGTCTGGCCGTTTCTTAGAAAACTAACTATGCAATTACCATATGACCTAGCAACTGCACTCATGGGTATTTATCTCAAGGAAATGAAAGCTCAAATTCACACAAGAACCAGTACTCAAATGTCCATAGCAGCTTTAGTCATCATAGGTCCACACAGGAAACAACTAAGATGTCCTTCAGTGAGTGAATGGTTAAATAAACTGTGGCCCACTCAATGGAATTAATACTACTCATTATCATACAATTTATAATGGAACAACTTGGATGGCTCGTGAGTGAAAAAGCCAATTTGCCAAAGAATATATGGTGTATAATTTCATGTCAATAATACTCTTGAAATGCCAAAAGTGTACGAGATAGAGAACAGGGGTTGTTGCCAGGGATTACAGATTGGCAGGATGGTCCAGGAAGGGGGTAGATGTAGCTATAACAGGGCAAGTTGAGGGATATTTATAGTGATGGAACTTTTATAAAGTGATGTTCAGTATCTCAACATGTGATAATTACACAGAACTACACCACACACACATGAATGCAAGCTAAATTGCTGAAATATGAAGAAGGGTGGTAGACTAAGCCACTGGGCACTTACTGTTATGCTCTAGTTATACAAAATGCTACCTTTAGGGGAAAATGGTTGAAGGTACACAAGACCTCCCTGTGTACTTTGTTTTCTTTGTTTCTGTCGTTTCCTGTGCATTTGCAATTATTTCAAAAGAAAAGAGTTTCTTTTAAGAACCTAGAAA